TTTATATATATATATATATATATATATATATATATATATATATATATTTTTAGTAATCTCTATAACCAACGTGGGGCTTGAACTCACCACCCCAAGATCAAGAGTCACATGTTCTTCCGACTGAGCCAGCCGGGCGCCCTGCCATTGACATATTTTTATTGCACATTTAATTTTTTTATAGCCTTACATCTTTATTCACATAAATTCAGCCAAATGAGAATTACAATTAAACTTCTCAAAAAATTTCTATTAGCAAGCTAAATTCAATACATGAAACAAAAAATGATAGAAGTACAAGGAGAAATAGTCAAATCCACACCTTCAGTCAAAAAATTTCACCACCAGGGCACCTGAGTGGCACAGTCAGTTAAGCATCTGACTCTTGGTTTCAGCTCAGGTCATGATCTCAGGGTCCTGGGATGGAGCCCTGAGTCAGGCTCTGCGCTCAGTGGGGAGTTGGCTTGAGATTCACTCTCTCTCTCTCCCTCTGCCCCTCCCCCTATTCACATGCGTGCTCTCTCTCTAAAATAAATAAATCTTTTTTTAAATAACTCTTTTTCTAAAAATTTAATAAAAATTAAAAAATGAAAGATAAATTTCACCACCCCTCTCTCAATAATGGATAGAGCAAGTAGACAGGAAATTTGCAAGGATACAGTACACCTGAGCAACAATCTTAACCAACATTTACCTAATTGACATTTATAGAAGATTCCATCCAACAAAAGCAGAATATACATTCTTCCCGAGTGCACTTGGAAAAAAATCAAATTCATTCACTACCTTAATCTTTACCAAGGGAAACATGAGGGAGAGTCCCCATTCCCAAGTCATCTTTTTGAATCAAACTAGTTCAAAGTATTACATCAAATGATAAATCTTCTAGGCTTAGAGAGCAGGATGAAGATTATCATGCACAATGACAGCGTCTACCCAAGAGTTTCAAAGGAACTCAAAGGAGAAACTGTACAACTCTAAACCAAGAGATACAGCAAATCATTAAACAAAGGGCCTCTACAGGTAGAGTATGGTATAGAACTAGTAATATGAGTAATATATAGCAAGGGCACCTGGCTAGCTCAGTCGGTAGAGCATGTGACTCTTAATCTCGGGGTCATGAGCTCGTTTATTTTACTTAAAATAAACACATAAAAAATAAATAAATAATATATGACATATAATTCAACATATATATATAATATTTAATATAACAGACTTGCCAAGCAAGCTGGTAAGCACTCCAGTTAAAGACAGAACCAGCTAGCCAGGAAAGCTATATCTATCAAAGGAAAGAATGCTTATAGGTTCTTATAAGGGTAAATTATCATCAATCAATCTATAAACTGTTATTACCACTGAGTGCTGCACTAGGTAGTAAATGTGTGAGAAAAGAACGAGAAGGGTTTATATTCTAAATTGGGAGGTTTTAATTATTTTTCCCACTGGAAACCCTTTCTTCAAAAGAACCAATATGCTGACGCATTTTGAAAACAACTACCAAAAGCAGATAAGGAAATTGTGGCACAGGTCTGGGTGGGGGAACAAGCCTTGAGGGTCGTTGTGTATGGAACACAGTTGGGAATTTGGGGAAATCTCAAGAGTGACGGTATGTCACACATTTATAGCACTTATAAAATAAAACATAAAGCCACATTAATTAAGTCACCACTAATTCACAATTACCATTAATTATAATCACTAAAGCAGAGGCCAGATGAAAGTGTCCAGTTAGGATCATCTATAAAGTAAATGCTTGTTTAGTAAACTGAGCATGCTGATATCACTTCAGGAGCAATAATTAAACTACTTAAAAGGAATAAGATCATTTCTTATACTCTCAACTCCTAAGAAGCATTCATTTTCATGCAGACAATACAAACTCATAAATTTTTCATATCTGTTTAATATAATAATGTTTAATGGTATAGTTCAAATAAATACCTGAAAGTCATTTGCTTGTCTTTAAGCAAAACTTCCCCTAGATTTCTGAATGAGTCAAAAAGAGAGGGATGGTTTACCAGTTCTCTCTCTAAAAATAAGGCTATTGAACTGCACTACTTAAAATAGCCAAAAGGCAGAAGCAGCCCAAGTATCCATCAATGGATGAATGGACAAATAAAATGCAGTACATACATGCAATGGAATATTATTCAGTCTTAAAAAGGGAGGAAATTCTGACATATACTGACATACACAACTTGGATGGACCTTGAGGATATTATGCTAAGTGAAATAAGCCAGTTACAAAAAGACAAATCCTGTATGATTCCATTTTATGTGGTACCTAGAATAGTCAAATACCCAGAGACCGAAAGTAGAATGGTAGTTGCCAGGGGCGACAGGGAGAAGGGAAAGAGGAGTTATTTTTCTGTGGGTACAGAGTTTCAGTTTTGCAAGGTCAAGAGTTCTGGAGATGGAGAGTGGGGATGGCTGCACAACAATGTGAATGTACTTAATGCCCACCAAACTGTACATTTAAAAATGGTTAAGATGGGCTCTCTTGGGCCCTCGCTCCCAAGATGACCAAGAAAAGAAGGAACAACGGTTGTGCCACAAAGGGCCGCAGCCACGGCAGCCTATTCACAGCACCAGCTGTGCCCACTGCGCCCACTGCGCCCACTGCATGCCCAAAGACAAGGCCATTGGGAAGTTCATTATTCGAGGGCGCCTGGGCGGCTCAGTCAGTTCAGCATCCGACTCTTGGATTCAGCTTGAGGCACGATCTCAGGCTCCTGGGGTGGAGCCTCCCATCAGGCTCTGCGCTGGGAGGGGAGTCTGACTGAGGAGTCTCTCCCTCAGCCCCTCCCCAACCCATGCGCATGCACGGGCACGCTCTCAAATAAATAAACTCTTTAAAAAAAAAAAAAAAAAAAAGGTTTGTTACTGGGACCCCAGTAAAGACCGCCTCCGTCAGGGGCATTAAAAGCGAATGGCTTCCAGGCATATGTGCGACCCAAGCTGTGAGAATGCGCGAGTGGCGCCATTCACACACACGTAGTCCAGAATGGCTCTCCTGAACCACGGAAGGACCCAACACCCCCACCCCCACCCCGATTTTATTTTTTTATTATTTTTAACGATTTAATTTATTTGAGAGAAAGCGAGCAAGCATGAGAGAGAGAGAGAGAGAGAGAGAGAGAGATCATGAGCAGGGGTGAGGGGCAGAGGGAGAAGCAGACTCCCCACTCCACTAAGCAGGGAGCCCGATGCGGGGCTCGATCCCAGGACCCCAGGATCATGACCTGAGCCGAAGGCGGACGCTTCACTGACTGAGCCACCCGATTGACACCGGCGGGTGCTACCCCACCACCTCCACCGAAGCTCATGTAAGGAGTTAAGTCCTTAAGGACTGAAGAATAACTGTTCTCGGGAAAAAAATAAAATGGAGATCATACTTTAAAAAATGGTTAAGATTGGGGCGCCTGGGTGGCTCAGTCGTTAAGCGTCTGCCTTCAGCTCAGGTCATGATCCCAGGGTCCTGGGATCGAGCCCCACATCAGGCTCCCCGCTCAGCGGGAAGCCTGCTTCTCCCTCTCCTTCTGCTACTCCCCCAGCTTGTGCTCTCTCGCTCTCTGTCAAATAAATAAAAATGAAATCTTTTTTAAAAAATGGTTAAGATGGTCAATTTTATGAGTATTTTACCATAATTTTTAAAAATTATATATAAAATACACATAAATATACCAGTGCATATATATATATATGAAAAATAAACTTATTTTATCATGTGTAAATGAAACCCTAAAAAAACTCAGTATGTGCTCTTAATTAGGGTGACTTGACAGCATTTGCAAGAAACACTTAAATAATCAGAGTTATGGTGGAGGAGAAAATCTCCAAGAAGTCACATCAGTTGCCACCGTCTCTCTCAGTGTGCACCTACCCAGATGAACTCTACTTGCACCTATCATGGATTTCCAAAGGCGTGCCTGGAAGTCAAATGTACGAGGGCGGTAAGATTGTTTTCATCACATATCTAAACACATTTAAAACCTCTATCCTCTAAATGTCTATTTGTTTAGCAACTACGCGCACAATGCATAAATGTTTATCAAAATAGTGCTTCTCAGCATGCGACTCTTGATCTCAGGGTCTTCAGTTCAAGCCCTACACTGTGTGTAGAGATTACTTAAATAAATAAAAACTTAAAAAAATAAAACAGTGCTTCTCAAACTCTGTGTGTGCGCACATGCACACACGCGCATGCATGTGTGTATGACTACTTATTATATAAAGACCACACTCATTTTGCTAAGAGGCTCATACATTTACATGGTCTAAATATATGAAAAGTCTGCTTACCAGACAAGAAGGCGATATCTTGCATTAAGAAATGACTGATGTCCTTTGCACGGAGAAGCAGCTCAGTTTCTACGACAAACAAGAAAGGGAGAAAGATGACGCGCACGTTAGGGCACAGGTGGAAGCATCCACATGATTTCTCATTACGCCGCAAGGAGCCCTGAGGGGCCCGCAGACACACTGCTGATCTCTCTCCTCCTCCCAGCTACACGGCAAGGAAATCACACCCTTGAAAATATCAGTGGCTAAGCAGGACCAGGGTCCTAGTTCTCAGAATCGATAGCTAGGACATAAACCACTCTCACTCACCAGAAAGGCAGGGGCAAAGGTCCCCACTCCACAGGACACCCAGATTTATTTAAAGGGTAGGTTGTCACATAGACACACGGTGGCAGACTGTCTTCTACTTCTGAGAATGCCTTTCATTCTGCAAAGTTTATTAGCGATTACAAAGCACTTCTCGGACCTTTTATCTTATTGGACCCTTAAAATAACCCTGAGGAAGGTGTTCTTATTCCATCTTGGAAGTCAGGAAAAGCGTCAGAGAGAATACAGTGGAGTGGTCAAGCGTGTTGCTTTGGGGCCAGACAGGCACAGATTCAAATCTCAGCCTGTTGCATTTACTGGCCGTAGAAACATGTCCTTACCCTATAAACTGGGCACAATAATATCTACCTCACAGGGTGCTGTGCCAAGGAGCTGCAAAGGAACTGGCATAGTAGTTGGTGTTCAGTCAACGGTAACATACGAACTTGTCTTTGAGTATCATGGGTAAAACAACATCCACTCTTTGCTCAATATGTTGTAGTTGCCCCAGATCTCAAGGGCTAATTTGTAATGTTCCATTCCAGGGCACTCTCCAGGGGCCAAAAATCAAAGTCTACTACCTGCCTCTGGTCCATGAGCAAGGATAACTTTTTAAAGAAAACGGGTCATCAAACAAGGCTATTTTGGATTGTTGGTTTTAATGCCTGTGGTTTCACATCTCTGATAGAAGCCATATTTTCCACTGCTCTCTGATACAAAGGGCCTTCAAAGGCCTGGTATCGGGTGGTGTCAGGCTGATGACACATTACCCTCCTTAGTGCTCCTCAAATCGTACCATATGGATGCTGTTTACCAGAAGTAATCCTGCTCAAGGGCATTAGAAAAACAAGTTCCCCATGAGTCCACAGTTGACAGAGGAATGGGTATCTGTTGCAGAATGGTCCTCCCCTCACCTAAATACTCCTGATTTGAAAGGTAAAAAAAAATTACGTGACATATTTATCTTCCTAAGACACAGACCATTAAAAATCTGCAATTTGTCAGGACATAAAAATCAATTCCTAAAACTGCCTTGTAATTACAAAAACAAGTGGACAGGCCAAGGCGTGTGCATTCACATTTCTGAGCCTCTGCATCCAGACTGCTGAACAGTTATTCTTTTTTAATGCTGCAGGTCTCCTCAGCTAAAAGAATGTCTTTGTGGCAGCCACAAACCTGGGTCCCACACTGACATGCTTAGGTATGGCAACGGGGAGAAGGGGTAAGAATGGGGATAACGCAGAGGCCTAGAAGTCTCTCGGCCCTTGGAGGCCTGCAAAAGTGGCAATGCTCCCTGGGGGTCGTACTATTTCAATGACACAGCATTAGGCATTAAAACATTCCTGTATAATAAGACCAAAATTTCTCCCCCATCCTGATCAGTAGGAAGATCTCTCGAGATAACTCAGTGAGTTTTATGTCAGATGGCACCTCTGGAAGTACTAACATCTGCAACTTGACTCCTCCCATTACCACTCAGGCTCGTGCACAACTCCAGAAACCACGTCCACCTACTGTACAATTCTTTAAAATCCAGTCATGTAATAAGAGACACCAGGGCATAAAATAAAAGGCCAAGGGCTGAGAGTGGAAAGACCTGGGCCTAGTGCTGGCTCGGCCACCAAAGTGCTCTGTGATCCTGAGCAAGTCACGCCCCACCACTTGCCCCCCCACTGGCCCCCATCTCAGAAGTGAGGGCGCTACAACAAATGCTTTCTCGGGCCCCTCGTGTTCTAGGAGATTCAAGAGCAGGCAAAATCCAGAGTTACAAGGAAAACATAGTGATGTGTCTGTAGTAAAACGTCTCCCACGACTGCGCCAAAACAAGTCACATTTCCGTACTAATGGAAAAGGATGAGATAATGGTTGAAAGAGAAGATGTCACTACTTTAAGAAATAATCAAGTTCTGGATGGGAAACGGACTGAAGAGAGAGGAGACAGCAGAGGAAAGGAGACAGAAGACACAGGTTATCAGTGAGTAGTCTGTGTGCAAACACAAGGTGAGATGGTTGCTGGGGACAGAGAGAGAGAGACAAGGGACTCGGGACAAAGCTGACACTGAGTTACAGCCAGCTTCATATCTGACCGTCTTGAATTTCCACACACATTTCCTCCTGAAATATAAAAGTGAGAACAAATATGATTTATAACGTTCCTCTAGCTGACCCTTTAAACTCTTTTCATCTGGGCCTGAGAAATAAATAGCCTAGGTCACCAAAGCTGGATCAGGTTTCCTTTACAGCATGTTCCTAGTTGGCCAGATTCACATTTGACAGGAGGCTCGTCAGGCTGGCCCATGTGGAAAGCTCAATTACACACAAATCAAAGGCATGCATTCTTCTTACTTTGGACTAGTTGCGCAACCAAAAAAAGAGCTGACTGGGAAGCCAAAAAAAGGGCACTAACTCCATAGGTAATCTGACAAACACCCTAAAACGCCCCCGATGGAGGAGGTCTTCACCTCTGCTGCAGAACCACGCACCTGCACAGTTGAGCATGATCAAGTACAAACTGCAGACAAAAGACAAGAAAAGTGCTTGCTGACTCATTCAATCCACGACTAGGAAGCAAAAGAGACAAGCTTTTACTCCCTTGACCATAAATCACAAACTCATCAGTAATATTCCTTTTTTTAAAAGATTTATTTATTTTAGAGAGAGAGTGAGGAAGAAAGCACAAGTGGGGGAGGGGCGGAGGGAGAGGGAAAGAGAGAATCCCAAGCAGACTCCCTGCTGAGCGCAGAACCCGATGCGGGGCTCAATCTCACAACCCAAGCGAAACCAAGAGTCAGACGCTCCACTCACTGAGCCACCCAGGCGCCCCTAGTATTACTTTTTTTTTTTTTACTAATATTTCTTTTATAGAAGATAGTTGTGCAGGAGCACCTGGCTGGCTTAGTCAGTGGAGCATGGGACTCTTGGTCTCCTGCCATGAGTTTGAGTCCCACACTGGGTGTAGAGATTAAGAAAGAAAAAAGGATTGGGGCACCTGGGTGGCGCAGTCAGTTAGGTGTTTGACGCTTGGGTCCTGACCTCAGTGTTGTGAGATCGGGCCCTGCACTGGGCTCACACTCAGCACAGAATCTGCTTGAGATTCTCTCTCCCTCTTTCCGTCTGTCCCTCCTGCTTGGGGTCTCTCTCTCTCTCTCTCTCAAATACATTAATAAATCTAAAAAAAAAAAAAAGGATTTGTGCAAATAAGAAGACAAGCTCAGAATTCAAATATGAAGAATTTAAAAGTCCTAAAAGGTGTGGAAATAAATAATATATTTTAGATGGATGGTTCACAGAGGAGGCAGGTATACCCATCCAATTAGTTGATTCATTTTGGTTGTGTCACTTGCAGAGATGGAGAACACTTGTCACCTTGATATAAGGTGCCCTTCACAGTTTTTAAAGATTGATTTTGTATTCATTCACTTTTTTAAACATTTATTGAGTACCTACTATATGTTAGATACTGTTAAGTTTGGATAGTACAGGTTCCTGATCAAATACATTTGTGAAATACTGAATATTAAGCATACTGCAACACTTCCCAGCACATACACATACACACAATGCAACTCCTTGGGCTATGTATGCAGTATGCATACCTATTTGACCATGAACTCTTTTGGTTTATTAGCTGATTGGTTAATTAGGTAGTTGGTTCACTGGTTGGTTGGTTTTTCCCCTCAGAGAGAGAGAGAAAAGACAAAGCAACAGAGAGAGAGCTATCGAGACTCCATGTAAAGAAGCATTTTGTTCTAAAAGTCAGATCTATTTGTAGATGAAATGACTGCCATGGTAGGTACAGAAAGCAGCCCTACCCTATCACAAATAGTGTTTGAACAAAGCCCAAGCTGCTCTGTGGTAAGGAGGCTAGCGAAGACAATCAAGTGTGTAGTTGGGTTAGAATAAATGATCTTTCATGTCCTACTTCTTCAAGAGTCTATGCCTCCATGATGTATGTAGCACCTTTCCAAGGAATTTAAATTCTACTGAGTTCATCAACTCCTATAAGGAAAATGATAGTTTAGAAAGTTAAATAAGTTGGGGGGCGCCTGGATGACTCAGTCAGTTAAGCGTCTGACTCATGATCTCAGCTCAGGTCTTGATCTCGGGGTCGTGAGTTCAAGCCCCACAGTGGGCTCCACGATGGGCTCCACACTGTGGGTGGAGCCTAGTTAAAAAAAAAAGAATGCAAAGTTAAGTAAGTTGGTATCTATAAGCTTTCTCATTTTTTTAAGATTTTTAATTTTTTTTTAAGTAATCTCTATACCAGGGCATCTGGTTGGCTCAGACAGTAGAGCATGCGACTCTTGATCTCAGGGTTGTGAGTTCAAGCCTCTCATTGCGCATGGTGTCTACTTAAAAAAAAAAAAAAAGGTAATCTCTACACCCAGTGTGGAGCTGAACCCACAACCCTGAGCTCAAGAGTCACATGCTCCTCCAACCGAGCCAGCCAGGTGCCCCTGTAAGCATTCTCATTTTATAGAAAGCATTTTTACTCTAGATTCTGGTGTATAAGAGAAATAATTCCAGCACGTTCTGCATGGAGCACTGGGTGTTATGAACAAACAATGAATCATGGAACACTGCATCAAAAACTAATGATGTAATATATGGTGATTAACATAACAATAAAAAAATTTAAAAAAAAAAAGAGAAATAATTCCAAACCTTGAGGTTTATTTCACAGTGACACTCTCTCATGTACATTTATCCTTTCTCTGG